TACTCAACCTCATTACATCTGTGTTGGGTGGTGGGAAGTAGCAATCACCCAAAGCCCCCCTAGGGTCCTGATGTATGCCTCCTTCTTCCATTAATCTCCACAATTATGTGTGTCAAACCTACACATCCCATTGAACCATTTACTTCGGGCTGAAGCTCTCTCTTCACTCTCCAAAGGCATTTGGACCACAGCCACTGCAACTCAAAAGGTCCAGAGACATAGATTGGCAGGACTGAACAGGAAGTCACTCATCTTGTGCAGTAATGATGGTTCTTTGAGATGTGTCCCCCATGGGTGCTCCACTGTAGGTATATCTGTGCCCCTGCACCTCTAATTGGAGATTTTAGGTAGCAATGTGCATTCAACCGTTACATGCGCTCTCCCTCCCTCGTGGCTATCTAGTGCCATGCAGGCGAACCCCCTTCAGTTAGATAGCCCTGAGGCAGACCACAAGAGAGGGAGAATCCATGTATGGGCTGAATGGATACGGTTACCTAAAATCTCTGATTAGAGGTGCAGGGGCGCAGATACATCTACAGTGGAGCACCCATAGGGACACTACTCAAAGAAGAAGTAGGAGCTCATGCTAGACTGGTCAAGAGCAACTGAGCTCCTTCATCCCTATCTGTTGCCTTTCCTGGCCAGCTTTCAAGAGCAGCTCTTTCCCAGACTTTCCCCCCACCTCCCTGTTGGTGCTGTGGCTACTGAGCACTCCAGAAACAGAATGAGGAGAGTGGCTTCTTCTCTCCACCCCTCAATTTCATGTTGGTCCAACAAACCCAGCCTCAGGGAACAGTCGTCTATTCAACTCCCAACCCTCAATGACCACTGCTGAGCCTGCGGCACCAGCTCCCAGAGCTTGTGGTGAATTAAAAGAGGGAGGAGGGGCCAACTGTCCAACGGGGGGATTGAGAGAGGGAAAATTGACAAGAGGGGAGACAGAGGGAGAGCTGTTTATAGTGGAAATACATGGACAGTTCATCTATTGGACAAAGAAAAGGAGGTTGCATATAATGTACTTTAACAAATTATTTTCTTTACATGCATCATTTAACTTCACTGACTAAAGAGGATCATTATGCAGTTGGCCAAGACAGCAACATTTACCTCTTGCCCATAAAATTTTTACTTCCAGCCCACATACTAATAAAGAATAATTTTGCCCTCAATACAGAATGAGTTGGACACTCCTGCACTATATTTTTATGATGTTGAAAACAAAAGTATTCTTAAAACAGATTGACAGAAGAAATAGTCCAAACTTTTTCCTGAACTCCAGTGATTAAAAAATGACATGTTAGAAAATAGCTGATAGAAATAAGCACAAATTGGAGTTAAAAAAACTTATATAAATGTAGTTTGTTTTTGCCAAAATATGATTGGTGAAATGACTTCCAAGGGCCTCTACCACAAGTTGGCATAATGATGTATAAGAAATTCTTTGAAATGGAAAAAACACAGCTATGTTTGGGGCATTGAAATTATTTTTATTTGGTTAAAGTGATGAGACACATGACTGACCATGTCCCTTCTGAAAATTTGAGAGCGCTGCACAAAGGCATCTTCGGGACCTTAAAATCCTGAACATCCTAATCTCACTCAAGGGACAATACTTCTGCGTAAGGACTCTGGAGAAGCCCTCAGACACAACCAAGTCACAAAGATTAGTGAGGATGTCAGGCCATCACCACTGGATTGACTGGAATGGATGATAATAGTTTCAAGCCATACTTTCTCTTAAATGTTATTTCACCTTTATTCTACTCTCTCTTTCCTATCCCCCTTTTTGGCTTCTGTGTAATCAAGATCAAGCTTGACTGGTTTTGTATCAGCTGAAATCCATGATACCATCATATCTAGCATTACAGGTTAAAGCAGCATAAATAACCTTGTTCAATTATCAAGACCTACCAGTGGCTTGAAGTTTCAGAGGGTGAAGGGCACAGACCTGTACGTGTAACATATTCTGTCTCCAGCATGTGAATAAAGCAAATATCAGTGAGACAGAAGTTATTGTCTTTTCTATTCTCTCATTCCCTCTTGTGTGTTTGTCATGCTTGTTTACGGAGCAGGAATAATTTTAACAATAACTATTTATTTAAGAGAGAATGGACTCTTTCTTTGCCCCAAGAAAAACTTAGTATCAGCAAGATTTTTAAGAGACATTTTTCATTCTGAAGGACTTTGCTAAACACAAATTAAAACATTTCCAGAATTAACAGCTATTCGACTTTTAAAGTCAAGTATTTTAACGTCTGTTTTCTTTGTTCTCTTTATATGCTTTATAAGTATTAGAATGGACCTGTAGAGCGTGGTTGCTACATTATATGCAGAGCAAAAGCTCATTATACATACCCATGAACCATAAATTAACTCTTGTGATAGTAAAACAAGAGTTCTAGTAAAAAATTAACATTTTTAAGGCAGATAACCTTTTATCACATCTTCTTTCATTCCCATCCATCAACACAACAGTAATGAGGAGGCCAAATGAAGCCTTTTTGCCACTTTCTGTCTTGTACCAGCTTCATGGCTTCACTCATCATTAAAAATTTTTGTTCTATGCCATTTTTCACTGTGTCTATCTAATGCATGCTCGGTCTTCCTCTATTTCTAGTTCCTTGCACTCTTGTGCGTATCACCATGTATGGTGTACATTCTGAGTTCATTCTTGACACGTGTCCAAACCACCACAGTCATCATTTTTTAGTCTTCTGTCATAGAATTATTTCTTGCCCTACCTGTTTTCTTTTCACTTCATTTTTTCCGGCAGTCTTGAAAAACTCTCAATAGTCTCCTCAGCCAATTCATTTCTGAGGTTGATATCTTTAGTTCGTCAGCTTTCTTCATACTCCAGCATTCCAACCTGGTACAGCAGCATTGGCACAGCAGTTGTTTCATATACACTGATTTTCATTTTTATCAAAATGTCTTTAGCTTTCCAGTACTTGCAGAGTATTATAAGTGCAGTAGCGGCTACTCCGATTCTTCTTTTGATGTCATCTTCACAGTTCCCATTCTTCAATACTAGTCCTCCAAGGAACACAATTTTTTCTCCTTGTCCTGGTTCTTTGTCTCCAACTTTTATCTTTATTTCTTCCTCTTGTCTTGCAATTGAAGTAATTCTTGTCTTCTCTGTGCCAACCTTCAGTCTGAATCTTCTGCTTCCCTGTCTCCCTTGGCAGTTATTCTCTGTAAATCCTCCAAGTCTATGAGGACAATATAATCAAGTGAATAACTTAAGATCCAAGGAAGGCACATCTGTCCCTCTAAGTGCATGAAGTTTCCTATGGTTATGAAGGGTGCTAGGTAAAGCATTCACCAAGATGCTGTAGAGGAGAACAAAGACGTACGTGGAAGTGGTGCTTGCAGAGGAGTATGCTGGATTTAGATCAGATGAAATGCAACAGATCAGCTATTTGTGATAAGACAGATATTGAAGAATACAGAACACAACCAAACCTGCTTCAATAACTTTATAGACTTCAAAGAGGCCTTTGATAGCATTTGGCAGAAAGGGTTATGGCAAATTTTGAGAATGTACAATGTCCCCAAATAATTGAGCAAGCTGAAAGAAAACATGTACAGCAAGTCAATGAGTGCAGTGAGAGTAGACAAGAAGCTGACAGAACAGTTCAGGATAACCATAGATCCCCGGGGTGCAACCGCTGTGCCCCCCTAACTCACTAACCTGGGTTGTCTCTCACAATGCCTTACTGATGACAAGCAGCAAACCACTTCAGGTGCTGTTACCACTCCGTATAACCTTAATAGACTAGGCAATATCTAGACTAAGCAGTTTTTCTCATCCCACTGGATACTGCAGATTGGTTGCAGTCTTTCATACTCAGGCTTTCCCTGTTAACCTGGGGACCAGTCTCCTCAGCTCCAGCATTCTTGTTGCCTTTAGCGTAGGCGGGGGTAGAGACAGGACCAAGCATGTGGCCTCTGTCCTCTATTTTATAACCTCATTCCATGTGCTTGGAGAACACAAGTCCAGGCATGTCTGGTGGGCATTGCAGAGTCACCAGGCAAGGGTGAGCAATTCATCTGGTGTGGCCTTGTGCATGTGAATCGTTGAATTGCAACTCCCTTGCTGAACAATAGCTGTTGATGGTTGTTCGACACTCGCCCAGGCTTTGATTACCTCCCTTGGCATTGTCGTAGCGGATCTAATCTCTGGGCAATTCCCCAACTCACAGCATATTTTAGTGACAACCGTACAACACAATCTCATAACTTCCTATGCACTAATGATTTACATATTTAGATAGAACAATGGCTTTCAGCATATCGTAACCTCTCCCATGATACCTTACATGGCATGCTTTACATGAAATATCACAATTATATACAAATGATGAATATGGAGGTTACGGGGCGCTCCCCCAAGGTATGACGTGTCACACCCCAGATTTGCTCAACTTGGTAATGAAAGCAGTAATGGCTGTAGCACTGAGAGATGAAACACTAGCAATCATATTAAGTGGAAGAACAGTGAATAACCTCACATTCACAGATATATTGACTTCATAGTAGCTATCACAACATGCCCCAAATTAAATTTATTAATCATCAGTAGTAGCAGTTGTATTAATGCAAGATAACAAGAGAAACCAAATCTCATCCAGCAGGGAATAAGCTGATTGCCTGGAGAAGTCAGGAAGAAATTTCTCTACTCCATGTACAACATTGCCCAATTGATTTGATTCACAAGGGTGGGGGGGGAAGAGATTGCTTTTCTCCATCTTTTGAATTCTCTGACTACTGCTGGAGGCAGGATGGACTTAATACACATATATGTGATGTGGAAAGTCAAATCCTATGTTTGTATGATGTTTCAAAATTAGTGACTGGTGAGAAGATGGAAATCCTTCAGCTGTTGCAGAAGAAAAAGACCTGGTGGATTCATAATTTACTTTTATAGAATGAAATATTTTCCAGACTACATCACTAGTTATATCATACATTTGTTCATAACATTAATATTTTGAACATACCTTTGATTGTATTGTCCTTAGATTGACCACATGCATGTCACAAGGCATGGATGAAGTGAGTGGAGAAAAGGCATTCAAAATCTGTGGGACACCAGATTCTGCATATGTAGTCATTGGAATTACAGGATGATTTATGAAAGAAGAAGTTATATGGCTCAGAAGAGAGGGGAAACTGACTGATGACTTTTCTTCTTTCTATAAAAAAAACAGATAAAACCACTTTGCAGTAAGTTTACATATGGCTGTCTTAATTAAATGCAAGTCTGTAAATTAAGACATATTAATTATTTTTTTACAAACAAAGACAAAACTTCTCAATCAGCTACTCACCTGCTTCTCTAATAATAAAAAAAGGTTACGTACTGGCTCGGTAACTGTTCAAGATGCGCTGCACATGTCCTTTCCATTTTAGATGTGCTCATGCACCGAAGCCAGAGAACTTTTTCCGATAGTGGTACCCGTTCGTGTGGAGCATGTGCCTTCTGCACGTTTGTTCAACTAGCTGAAGTTATGAAGGGGCGGAGCCTCCCTGACCCCACTCAGTTCCTTCGCCCAGGGAGCCAGAGTTTGCTGTGGCTCCAATGTAGAGAGCAAGGAGGATGGGTCATGGAATGGACATGTGCACACATCTTAAAGAACAGTAGTTTCTGAACAGGTAACTAACATTTCTTTAAGTGCTTGCACATGTCCATTCCACTTTAGGTGTCTAACAATTTCAAATGGAGGAGGAAATTGGTGTCTACCTAAACAAGGATGCAACACTACTCTCCCAAACATATTGTCTCTTAGGGCATAGGAGAGAGCATAAAGAGCAGTGAATATATGAAGAGAGGACCAAGTCACAGCCCTGCAAATATCACTGACGGGAACGTGACCTAGGAAAGCAGCTGACACTGCTTATGCTCTCATAGTATGCTAAAACTCTTTGAGGTCATGGAGCATTTTCATAGCACAGATAAATACAAGAGGAGATCCAGGAAGAAATCATCTGACAAGAGACAGGATGCCCTTTCATCCTGTCAGCGGAGATGAACAAGAGTTTAGGGTGGAGATGCCATAAACTCTTTAATTCTGTTCAGATAAAAGGCCACATCTTATAAATGCCCAAAGTATGAAGGTTTTCCCTATCTCTGTGGGTGTGAGGTTTTGAAAAAAAGGTAGTAAGTATGCAGAATTATTTAGATGAAAATCTGACACCACTTTAGTAAGAAATTTGAGGTGTGGATGCCAACTAACTTTACCTTTATAAAACAATATCTAAGGAGGGTCAGCTACCAAGGCCTAAAGTTCTGCTACCTCCTGGCTAAAATAATGGCCACCAGGAATGCTAACTTCATTGAGAGATGAGAAAGGGGGCGTAGCTATAGGTTCGAATGGCGGCCCTATTAAAACGGAAAGAACCAAACTCAGATCGCAGGATGGTGTGGGAACGCTAATAGGAGGCAAGGTCTGTCCAAACCTTTCAAGAACCTAACAGTCATAGGCAACACTGCCGGAACCGTGGCCCCGCCTCTGCTCTTCCTCTTTCCCCATAGCCATGTCCCTGCTCCTTATCTTCCCCCCGACCCGAGGCTCCACCCCGAGGCCAGCCCAGAACTTGGAGCCGGGCCATGCTAAGAGCCACCCAAGGAGCCCAGGCTGCTGTGGGACCCGTGTTCCCACGCACCACGGTGCACTGCCCAGGGCAGGTAGAGGGTCCAGGGCTCCCCACAGCGGTCCTGGATCCCTGGGAGGCTCTTATTACAGCCCAGCTCTGACTTCTGGCCTCGCCACGGGGCAGGGTCTTGGAGGGGAAGAGAGGAGGGGTAGGCCACAGAGAGGATCCAGGCTTCAAGGCAAGGAGATTAAGGTCCCCTTTAGTCCCCGCACTGGAAAGAGGCTGGCGCTGCCGGCAGGGGCTGCACTTCATGGTGGGGGAGCTGATCCTCTTATCAGCTCCCCTGCCACAAAGCACAGGTGCTGCTGTCGCCACTCCGCACCCCCAAACTACGCCATGTTAAAAAGTGGGTGGGCAGTACAACTTAAGGTGCCAAAGTCTATAACTCTACATTTCTAGAATGCGGCACTAGGGAGCACCTTGCAGGAGTTATCTTAACTATAACTAACTTCGGTACTGGTCATTTTATTGAGTGTTTTGAGGACTTAGCCCTCAAAGAAGAAGAGGGCTTCTTCTGGCCCGAAGAGGTCAAAGGGCTGGACTTCTGCTGCCTGCATGGCACCAGAGATGGAGAGTGGTGTCTTCTCTCTTCAACTCTCTTCCAAGTCTGGTGGAGCACTCGGAGATGGAGTTAAGTCCAAATCCCTGCATATTGAGCATCTGGGCTCTGAATGAGATCACAAAAGCTGCTTCGACCAAGATGTCTTGAAGTTGAACTTCCCTCAACTTCCTACTCCTCGTTTTAAATACCTTACAAATAGAGCAGTTATACCTGATGTGGCCTTCTCCCAAATACTTCTATCAGTGGGAGTGAGGATCACTGACTGGCCTAAATTTGTTATAGCCAGAACAGTACCTAAATCTTGGGGACTTGGACATGCCTGGGAACTGAGCCAAAAACAAGTACCACTATCTAAACGACAACTATACTAAACTACTTACAATAAAAGACCTCTAGAAAGTTTTCTTAAAGGGAAATATGGGAAAGACCATAAGACTCACACTCCAACTACCAACCATGGGTGGTCAGAAGGAACTGAAGGGGGGTTGGGATAGTTCCAACCCTTTATGCTTTCAGCTAGCAGCATGTACTGCCCCAACAAGTACCACTATGTGGAAAAGTTCTCCAGCTTCAGTGCACTGGTGTGCACACATCTAAAGTGGAATGGATATGTGCAAGCACTCAAAGAATAATAATTCTTATTCTTAATATAGCTCTTATACAAATAATCAGTAGCTTTCTCAAAAAGTTTGCAAAGGAGGTATCATTAACACTTGTGCTTTTTTTCCATGCCACCTGTCAAATCTCCTGTAAAATCTGTAAAGTCTCTTCATCCTCCTTCAAGTATCTCCTTAAGACTTACTAATGCTGTAATGCCTACAAAGCACTCCAGATGATAATGGCTAGACAGTTAGCAAAAAGACTCCTTGGTCTCCTAGGAAAATGTACCATTTACTGTTATCTTGTCTTGCCATCCCACTTGTCTATTTCATCTACCTACTCAGTCTTGTCATATATCTAGACTGTAAACTGTAGAGCAAGGATTAGGTTGTACAGCATTAATCTCAGTGGAGTCCTGATCATTTACTGTAATACAAATAATTAATAGTGCCAGCAACTTAAAATTAAAGCAAGCTACAGAATTCTATACAATTTAAATGCAAATGTTTTGTATGTTTTGATTAGTTCTCAACAGCTAAGATACATGCTAACTTTTTAAGGAAGAAGTGAGTGTTGCTTTTCCTCCTCCTGGTTAGCAGCACAACACATTTTAAATTTTGTGTGTGTGGTACAACAAACATCTGATATGTGATTCAGCTGAGAACTAAACAAGTAAACATACATCTAAATTACAAACAGGTTGTTCAATCTTAATTATAGGCAATGGTATAAACATTTCAAGTATATTATTTCATATATTTTACTGAAGATATTGCTGCATGTGTCAAAGAAAGACAGAAGGCAGAGGATTCTGCAAGTGAATCACTGGCTAGGTAAGTGGTGTAGGGCTCTGGTTTTGTGAAATATTGGTCCATCTTCTATGGGGGAGAGGAGGCTATATTGTTTGGATGGTCACCACCTCAGCAGAAGGGGGACCAATCTTCTTGAGGACAGGCTGGCTAGAGTAGTCAGGAGGGTGTTAAATTAATAGCATACGGGGAGGGGAAAAAGAGGAAAGATACAAGCACTCAGCACAAAATCAAGATATCGAGAACAAAATTTATCAAGGAATCAAAGGACATGAACAGGAGAAATTCTTCAATTACCTATACACTAATTGAATTGCTAGGAGCCTGACCAACAAACAAGAGGAACTGGAATTGGTCATTTAGGAGAATAAATTCAATCTACAGTAGAAGCTCAGAGTTACGAACACCTCAGGAATGGAGGTTATTCGTAACTCTGAAATGTTTGTAACTCTGAACAAAACATTATGGTTGTTCTTTCAAAAGTTTACATCTTAATACACCTTTGAAACTTTACTATGCACAAGAAAAATGCTACTTTTAACTGTCTTAATTTAAATGAAACAACCATGGAAACAGTTTCCTTACCTTATCAATTTTTTGTAAACTCCCCCCCCCCCCCTTTTTTTTTTTTAAAAGAAGTTTACGTTTAACACAGTACTATACTGTAGAGTATATGGGATTTTTGGTCTCTGCTGTCTGATTGCATACTTCCAGTTCCAAACATCCTTTGAATTTCTAAACATTATAGATGAGAATTTCCTAACTCAAAAAGTGTTGCAGCCATCATGGGGGAATTCTATATTAGAACTTATTCCAAAAGATAAAGAGGAACTGACCACAAGACTAAAAGTAATATATATACTTGATGCTTTAATAGGGCCAATTTCACAAAGCTGAAAACAGTATGAGCCAAATAAGCTGGGGAAAAGAATGTAATCAAAAAAATGTGAACGATTATTGGGAATCATTTAAGAACACCTTACTAAATGCCCCAAAAGCCTCAATCCCACAATTGAGGAAGAAGGCTGTGCTGGTTAAAAAAAACCGAACTGTTTAGAAAGAAAGTGAAGGCAGCTTTAAAATATAAAAGAAATAATATATAACAAATGGAACAAAGGGGAAGTTAACATTAATGAATAAGTCAGAAGTTAGGAATTGCAGAAAATTGATAAGGGACACAAAAGGAGAAAAATGTATGGCAAGCAGAGTTAAGGACAGTAATAGAGTTTTTTTAAACACACTAGGAACAAAAAGAATCCTGACAATGGTATTGGTCCATCACTAAATGGAAATGGTAGAATTATTATTAATAATAATAATAATAAATAATAATACAGAAAAGATGTTCAATAAATATTTGTTCTGTATTTGGGGGGGGGAACAGATGATGCAGTCTCATCATATGGTGATAACGACGTTTTTTCCGTTCCACTAGTGTCTCTGGAGGATGTTAAACAGAAGCTACTAAAGTCAGAAATTTTAAAATCAGCAGATCCAGATAACTTGCATCCAAAGAGTTTCAAAAGACTGGCTGAGGATCTTGCTGATTCTCAATAAGTTTTGGAAC